TTTATTTATATTTAATAATTTAAATTACTCACTTTAATATTCACTATACTTTTTTTAAATAAAGAAGCATTACAACCTACAGGTTAAATAAATATACAAAAATATATTTTAATTACCTATTTATATGAGGCATTACAAACATTAGGAAATGTAATATTTAAAATACACTGAGTGCAACTGTTAAAAAAAAATTGAGTGCTTAGGATACCATTAAAATATTTAGGATAAAATTTCAGTTGACTTCAAGATATATTCTATGTGATTAAAGAAGAAAAAGGGGGAAAAGCTCAACATCTTTTGGCACTGGAAACATCATTAACATCCAATATGATGGAAGACCAAGAAACAAGGCATTATTTCAACAAAGTTTTGACTTTTCCTTAATCTCACTTTTTCTTTAATTAGATAAAGCATGATCGCCCTGCTCCAAGAGAGAGCTTCCCTGCTTAAGTTACCCAGAAGATAATAATTAAAAAGTGTTTCAACGAGAGCAACAATAGTCTACTTAATTATTTGCACTTCAAATTTTTAAATAAAAATGTAATTGCACCAAACCAGAAGTCCTTCTTCAGTCCACGTCTGCACTCCGGGTTTACCTGCAAAGCCCCGAGGTGGGTTTTTGGGGTAGACACTCCGATGCTTAAATCAGCAATAATCGAAGTTACCTTTAGGGCGGAGATAAACGAAGCTTAGGGTTAGTTTCAATCACCTTTTTGATGTGACCCCTAGGGGGTATTTATAGGCTCCAGTGAGGAACCCACGTGGCATGCCAAGCAAGATAGTCGGAGCCTGACGTGTATCCAAACGGTTATTTCGGGACCGGGAATTTGAGAGATATTCAGATGCAATGACGTCCATCATAGCTGCTGTGCAGCTCATTATAAAGAATCAGATGCGGGCGTGCTTACTGTTGCTGTCATGCAGCTATTTGAGCGGGAATCTTTGGATTTATCATTCACTTCGGTCATAAAGGAATTACTGTCGTACGTCCGAGGTTGGGCACCTCGGACCTGCCCTTACACTATTCCCCCCCCGAAGTCATTCACTTGTGAATGATGGTGTTGGAGATGATGGGAGTAGTGCATAAATAGAAAGGAAGACAGATAAAGATATTAAAGATGAGTTACAGAAGTACAAATAAAAATAAAAATCTATACCTCATATATATGTATGACCGTAGTTAATAGTGCAGTATGAGATAAGGGTCATGATGGTATGCCCAAAATAAATGGTGGCCGGAGTAATCAGGGCCGTAACCTTGGAAAAAGTAATGACCGGAGTCAATGTGGTCGAAGTCATAATAAAAAGTAATGACCGGAGTCATAGTGGCCGGAGCCTAAGTAAAGCATGTGACGCTGGGTCACTGTGGCCGGAGTCGAAATGAAACGTGTGACACTAAGTCACTGTGGTCGGAGCCGAAGTAAAACGTGTGACACGGGGTCACTATGGCCAGAGCCGAAGTAAAACGTGTGACACGGGGTCACTATGGCCGGAGTCGAAGTAAAACGTGTGACACTAGGTCACTATGGCCGTAGCCGAAGTAAAACGTGTGACACGGGGTCACTATGACCGAAGTAAAACGTGTGACATTGGGTCACTATAGCCGGAACCGAAGTAAAACGTGTGACACTGGGTCACTATGGCCGTAGCCGAAGTAAAACGTGTGACACGGGGTCACTATGGCCGAAGTAAAACGTGTGACATTGGGTCACTATAGCTAGAACCGAAGTAAAACGTGTGACACTTGGTCACTATGGCCGTAGCCGAAGAGACAAGCATGACCGGAGACAGCAGATCGGTTGCCGAAGTAAAACACTTGCAAAATTTAAAATGTATAAAAGTGAGCAAGAATGCTGGAATGGGCTTAAGTGGGCCCGTCTGAGAAGCTTGACAAAGAGGCAGTACGTGACGTGACAGCTGTCTTCTGAATGACGTGCGTAATAAATGCCGCTGTAAAACGATAACTGCAACAGTCCAACGGGCAGATTTAAAAAAGGAACCGTCGAGTTCGAAACGGTGCCGTTTGGGGTTAACCGTTGAATTCGAAACGGTGTCTTTGCAGCCGTTAGATGGAGATAATCACAACCGTTGAGGCGTATTTCGCCTCTGGTATAAAAGGCAATACTTCTATAAAATGGGGTTTTTACTTTCGCTATTTTACTACCAAATTCTTGCTAAATTTCTGCGGTTTCGTGCGGTTTGTGCTTTGATTGAGACTTCAACAACAGTTCCCAAGACCAAAATCAGGTAAAGTTTATGAATTTTTTATTTTGATTTTGCTGAAGCGTTATTCTCCTTTCTCCCTTTCTGTTTTTTATTTTGGGTCTTTTGAAGGAAGTTAGGGTTGGGAGTGAGAATGTTATTGAGTGTGTGTTAGAATTTGTTAAGGATCCTGACTCCATTCCTCCTCCTACTTTATGCAGAAATTGAGGAGATGTCTTCAGAAGGGTCCATGAGTGTAGTGGGAAGTGAGGTGATGCCCCTGGAGTACGGTGGCATGGATTCAGAGAGTAGTTCGTCTCCATCTAGTTCGGAGAGAACAGTGGAGGAAAGGAGAGAACGGGAGGTAGAGGAGGAAGGGGAAGAAGAAATTCCCTCAAGTATTCTGGAGGTTGGGGGTAACGTGGGTAGGTGCTATGACCCGGAGTCAGACATAGTGTCCGAGGTGAGGGGGTATGTGAGTGAATTGGGTAGTAGGAGTAGCCTTAGGGGGCTGTTAGAGAACTGTAACCTTCCTCCCCATGTTTTAATTAGGCCTACGGGGTGGATGAGAGAGCATGCTCAGCACCCCGAGACCACTGGATGCCCATGTACGTCCATTATTTGATTGCACGGCTTAGGTTTCCCATTCCAGAATTACTGGTTGGGTTATTATTAGATTATAGTATAGGAATAACCCAATTAACCCCAAATGCCATAAGGGTAATAATAGGTTTTATTGTATACTGCCGAGCTCAGGGGGTTGGGGTCCCTACCGTAAATATGTTTAAGCATTTCTTTATAATAAAGGCTGGGGGTAGGGGTGAGAAGGGGTGGCACTACTTCAGCCCTCGGTTGTCCAGCAAAGAGAATAGGAATTTATTCACTGCTGGACCGTCATCCATCAAAGGATGGAAAGAGAAGTTCTTCTTTGTGGATGACACCAAGTGGAGTAGGGGGGATGCCGAGGTAGAACACTTGTCTGCTTAGAAGGCTAAGAAAACCAAGCAGAACAATTACAAGTTGAATGAGGATGAAGTGGAAGAGGTTGAGAAGCTGGTGAGGGAAGAAGGGGAGTTAGTGGATATCATGTACCTCACCAGCGCAGAGGCGATAAAGGCTGTTGAGCTCTATGGGCCAAGCTTATTGAGCGAAGGTTTATGTATGTTTGTTTTATGCAACTTAGGTGAGATTTCAGTTGGTTTGTTTTGACATTAATGTTTGTTTTGCAACTGAAATGGACGGCTTTCTAAACGCTGCTGAGGGGTTGGCTATCCTAAAGAAGCCAAGGAAGAAGTCAAAGACTTCAACTACGGTAGAAAAGGGGGTGGCAGAGAGGGAGCGGCCGTCTAGCACTTCTGCCCGAGCTTTGGAGATGCAACCAAGGCCAGAGCCTATGAGGAGAAGCAGTGAGGAGGAGAGTGATGAGGTGGCACCACTCCAAAGGAAGAAGAGGAAGGTCGCCGAGCTAGAAGTTAGGAGGGATGAGGTGGTTGAGTTCGTGCCTCGGCCTTCTCCTCCAGAAGTTGATCCTAAAGTCAAGGAAAGGGAGGAGGCCGAGGTGCGAGGCCCTGGCAAAGGCAAAGAGCTCATCTTTCCCCCTTCGTTCTAGGAGAGCTTATTAGATGCGACCAACATCACTGGAGCGAAGCGATTCTTGAATGCCACTCTTCCGGAGGTGGATAGGAGGCAAGCGAGGGATAAGGCAGTGAGCCAACTAGGGGCTCGCGTTGTGAGGCACTCCCTGGAGGTATGTAAAGAAATCACAGTTTATTCATGTTTTATTTTTGATTTTTGGACTTCTGCATTTGAGTTTTGACTTCTGCTTGCATTCCAGAGTGCAAGCTGGGTAAACGCTTTAGCACAGGAGTATGCGAAGAGCGTGCGGGATCGTGCCAGCTTGCAGAGGCAGTGTGAGGAGCTGTAGAAGGAAAAAGAGGAGTTGCAGAAAAAGACCAAGGATATGCAGAGGAAACTGAATGAAGTTCTACCATCAGTAACCGAACTCTAGATAATGATACCTTGAGCACGAGACTCGTCTTCGAAGAATGTAAGAGGAAGATCTGTGAAGACAAGCTCGAGGCTCAAGACAAATACATTGAGAACGTGAAGAAAGGAGCGGCGGAGCTGAAGAAGAACGTGAATCTACTGGTTCATAACGGAATGGAGGAGCACATCGGAAACTTCCTCAACTCCAGCACCTTCGAGAACATCATCAACCTCTACCGGCTGTCGATCGCAATTTTGGCCTTCACCGACTGTAGAAAGAAGGTGAAGGTTCAGTACCCAGAGGTGGACGTCACGACAGTCACCTTTGGTGAACAAGAAGAAGGAGTGGAAGAGGATGGTGGGAGCCTCTCTGCTGACTTCCGGCCTCTGATCAAGCTGAGGTGGGAGCGTGATGCAGAGGGGTGCACTATCTTTCCTCCAGCCTTTGATGCTGAGTTGGTGGCCATAGAGGAAGAGGAAGAAGTGCCAGATGCCGAAGTGGAGAACCAGACAAATCTGGCTGAAGTTCAACCTCCTGAAGTTCATCCAGTTTCCTTTGGTGAAAAGTAGCTAGTTCCTCGTGAAGCAGAAGTGCCACCTCTGCCTGCTGG